GACGATTTGCGAAGAACCTATTGAGGCTCTGTCAAAGGCGGACAACAGAATTCGCTTTGGCATCCGACAAGGCTCCTGATGAAGACGACACAGAAGAGGTCGACGATGCGAGCCAGTTGCTGAAGGACGTCAACATCACCGATGCAGCCCCGCCGTGTGTACAGATTAATCTGCATCACTCAATATGTGCGAGAGATAATCTGTCAATCCTTCTCGGAGAGGGAAGCATCGACTTCAGCCTTACCCAGGAGCCGTGGGTCAGAGGTGATCAGATCCATGGACTTAACAGCAGTACAAATAACCTTTTTTATAGTGGTAACATAGGTAAACCAAGAGCATGCATTCTAATCAAAAAAGGTATTAATGCATTTCACTGTCCAAATTACAGCACAGCAGACTTAACCGTGGTCAAAGTGGAGAGGGAAGGGCACCATAATATCTTCCCGGCATCTGCCTACCAGGCTCATGTCAGGGACGCCCCACCCGACGAACTGGAACAATTAATCGTCCAAAATCAGAGGGAACAAATTCTGATAGGATGCGACGCAAATGCGAGACACACTATCTGGGGGAGTTCCACGATAAACAGCAGAGGTGAGTCTCTCTTACACTTTATATTAAATACTAACCTGAGTATATGCAATAAAGGAGAGTCCGACCTTTATATTTCCCAGCTCCGAAAGATTTGCGGGATGGGAAGAGGTACTGGACTTAACCTTAGCAACAGATGGTATTGTCGTCGATGACTGGAGAGTATTCAGTGAAACATCCATGTCGGATCATTGTTGGATACTCTTCAGCATTCGCGGAAAGCCCACTACCTCTTCCCTATTTCGGAATCCGAGAAGAACAATATGGCCAAAATTTATTAGGCTAACGTCAGGTAACCTAGACAGTAGTAAATCAAAGGAGATTACAACTGCTGTAGAACTAGACAACACGGTAGATAAGCTGGAAAAACTCTAGCCATAGCTTTTAAAAAATCCACACCAGTAAGCGTCCTTAAAAAAAAATCACCCTCCATGGTGGACGGTGGAGCTTAGGGAGCACAGGTCAAATCTCAGAAAAATCTTTAACGAGTGCTGCAGAACAAAACTGTGGCAGCCATACAAAGATGAATTAAGGCAGTACAAAAAATTAATAAAGAAAGCTAAAGAGGACTCTTGGCAGTCCTATTGCACATCCATAGAGAACTGTAGGGATTCCGCCAGACTAAGCAAAAGTTTTATCCAAAGAACACACCAACCCCAACCTTATTAAGGGAGAGGACTGTGCATGGACCAGGACAGCGGAGGAATCACTAGAGACTCTCACAAATACACACTATCCTGGCTGCGATCAGAGGCCAAAAACATGGCCTCATACAAATCGTCTGCAACTCTCAAAAGAATTACTCGACTCAGTCGTAGACAAGGAAAAAATTAAGTTCGCTATAAATAAATTTTCCCCATACAAATCCCCAGGCACAGATGGTATCATTCCGATAATGCTCCAGAAATTACAGGAGCCTATGGTATCCTGGCTGGAAAGGGTCTACAAAGCCAGTATCAGCTTGGCATACATTCCGAAAAGCTGGAAAAAGAACCGGGGAGAAGAAATCACAAAAAAGCAAAAGACTTCCGACCAATAAGTCTCACATCTTTCCTGCTAAAGGTACTGGAAAGAGTTTTAGACCTACATATTAGGCTTTTTCTGGGAAATTCCAAACTTTCCAAAGCTCAACATGCGTACACTAACGGCAGGTCAACTGAAACTGCCCTTCATGAAGTCGTGGGCACCATAGAAAAATCACTCCGTTACAAGCAGTACACTTTGGCGGCATTCCTCGACATAGAGGGGGCCTTCAATAACATAACCGTCGAAGCAATTGTTCGATCTCTTGTGAAGGTGGGAATATCTGACCACATATGCGAGTGGATCGAACAAATGCTCAGAAACAGAATCATAATTTCAACCATTGGTCCAGTAACGCACATTGTCCTCCGAGGCTAAATACTTGGGTGTCGTATTAGATACCAAGCTGATCTGGAAGACAAATATAGAGAGGCGGGTTGAGAGAGCCTACACAGCTTATTATACATGTAAAAGAATATTCAGTAGGAACTGGGGATTGAAGCCAAAGCTTGTCCTCTGGATGTACACAGCTATCATACGACCAATACTAACGTATGCGGCGTTAGTTTGGTGGCCAGCACTGGATAAACAATGTGGGGTGTTCTCTGAAACGCTGAATATCTCTCTCTCGTTTCGAGTACCTGACTTTGCTAGCATCTTCCAGGCGGAAGTACTGGGCATCGAAAGGGCCTGTAAAGCACTAGAGTGGAACTGCGTAGGTGTACGAAAACCATACATTTTTTTCAGATACCCAAGCGGCACTTCTGGCACTTGCCTCACCGGTAACAAAATCCAAAACAGTCAGAGATTGCAAATGTGCGTTAAGCTCGGCGGCCGAGTTAATAGACATCACTCTAATCTGGGTTCCCGGCCATAGGAACATACACGGAAATGAGAGGGCTGACGAGTTGGCTAAGGCCGGAGCATCTTTGGATGAATCCGAAGCAGAAACTGTAAATTGTCCCCTCGGACTCATCAAAAGGGAACTGCATCTGCAATTCACACGTATGGCTGATACACGTTGGAACAACCTTCAAACCTGCAAAACTGCGAGGTACATATGGCCGCACTATGACAAGCCAAAAACAGAAGAACTTCTCAAGAGGTCAAGAAAAGATATAGTCAAATTAATAGCCACGATAACGGGACATTGGCCCATTGGTGAAAATGCAGCTAGAATGGGCCTTCCGTATAACCCTCGGTGCCGTAGCTGTAATCTTGTGGGAAGTAAGGAAACGGTTCTTCACTATCTTTGCGAGTGCCCAGCATTGGCACAAATAAGGCAGATCACACTCGGGAGCTTTTCCATCCAAAATCTTGGGAAATTTCCAAATTCCCCATTACTAACCTAAATAGATTCATCGGAAAATCCAAATGGTTTGACGAACCCAACGAATCATGAAAGCAGATAAAATCAGGGGTCCCAGAGAAAGCGTATCAAAATGGTGCTTTCAGCACTAATTGGGTGCTGGGAACATACCCCTGCGACGCTTCTACCAACCAACCAACATACTGCAATCCTTTTTAAAAAATCTAAAAACCTCGCAATTTTTAATTTCATAAGGTTACACGTTCACGCGGCGTATCCCTGGAACCATTTTAAGGTAAACTTGGAGGGATTGATATCTTTCGTATGCAGCGTAGCGTGCAGACGAGATTTTATATTTTTATAGTTTAAAACAGCTTAAATACCTTAACTCGCTTAAAAAATATACAGCTATACCAAAATGGGCACAGAAATAAATTATTTTCCATATTTGTATCAAAACGTGAGGTGAAACCCGCGGCCTTGTTGCCACGGACACATTTTTGTCCCTACCAAAACCAACCAAAACCTACCAAACAATTTTTTGAGCTTTTAATTTTTGTTCAATGTCAGGTTTATTAAAAATTTAGATAACATAACATTTAATAAAACAAAAATACGGCTAGTACAATAAAAACAAACTAACTCCGTATAACAATTCGTTTTACTGTACAGACTTGTACAAATGTATATCTCTTTCGTATTATTATTATTACGTCTTGGATACTCGTGCTGCGACCTGAGAAGATCTATTGTACTAAACCCTATTGTAACACCGTGCCACAGTAAGTTTTACACACACAAAAAAAAATTATATATTCGCGAAACCCTGGGCCAAATATAGTAAAACTCCGTTTTTGTTTTTCTCTCTGACGTCAGGATTTTTTTTAAAGGACTTTGAAATTTAAAAAATATAATTACTTCAAAAAATTATTTAAAAAAAATAGTGCAATGTAGAAAAACAGTATGACTATTAAATTAATCACTGCAGCCTTAGGCTATTTAAGAAGTTAAGCACTTTGGAGGGTGACATGTTCCACATTTTGAATGGAGAAAGCAACCGTTCCCCAAGGTATCAGTCTGCTATTCATGATTCGTGGGCAGTCACATAGAATATGATATGTGGTTCACTCCACCAGCCCACAAAATCTGCCAAATTTTATACAAATGATACCTTAACTTGCAGTGTCCTGGCAGGTAGCCAGTGAGATTTCTAAGACCCTCTCGGTTAAGTTCAGGTATTTCGGAGACCCTGAGCCTGATTCTAGACCACGTTTATTTTGCGACAGGAGATGTTATTGCTAGTAACACCATCTGGCTGTCAGAATATAGTGTTGCTTGGTTTTTGTGCCCCACGCCATTACCTAAGATTTAAAGGCTTTATTATTTAGAATCTTCGCTTGGAAGATACTCGTATCCTTTCTCAGAAGTAGAGACAGGGGGAGACTCACGCTCTTACACCGCAGTCCGTCTTGGATCCGTCGGTATAGAAAGATAGCCTGATTATCGGCCACCCGGTCTCTTCTCCATGTTTATTTAGTTACTTTTTTAAAAGTACATCGTCAAAAAAGTGTCAATATTCCGTCAGTTCGCCCTCGAGTAGGGATGTCGGAAAAACATCGACGCATCGAAAATGTAGATGTTTTGCTTCGATGCATCGAAAATTTTCCACTCGATGTATACACAGTCGATGTATCGATGCATCGATGTTTTTTCAAAACTGACGTCTTAGTACATTGAACCGTCGTTCCAGTTTTTCAATTGTATAAGTTTTTCAATTGTACAAAAAATATAAATGACTTTGACAAAAAAATTAAAACGGACAAAAAGTTCCGTTAGAAACATAATTAGCTCAGTTGCAGTAATTTATTTAAAATTTGGTACAATTTTGTTAATAACATATTTTGTTGTGAAGTATTATCTGAAAAATCCTATGCAAATCGATGCATCTACATTTCGATTCATTGAATCAAAGAAAAACATCGATGTATTTTGGCACTGGCATCCCTACTCTCGAGTGCCACTATAAAGTACGATTGGTTTTCTAATATTTTTTAAATTTGACATATTAAGTACATACCCGCCGTCATTGGTTCCGAACTCTTCAAGTAAATCTGTTAGCGCATCTCGAAATTCTATCATTCCTTGAGCTGGTATAGCTATTTGTGATCTAGGTCCACCTCTTGTTATAGTCTGCGATACCTGAATGAAAAATCATAAATAGTACAGATGCTTTCCATTTCCAGACAACCGGTCAGGTACGAGCATGATTTTTAATTTTGACCAAACTCAAATACATTGTTTGTTAGTCCAAATAATGAGACACGTATTTTTTCTTTTGGCTCGGAAAAATTTTTCGGTCGAATTAAACGCGATTTTGTTTTTCAGGCAAAAATCAACTTTTCGAACAATGTTTTTCCTCAAATGTCAGTAATTCTTGTCACTTCAAGATAGAATGATATAATTATTGATTATCATTATTTAAAATTTTTTAATTATCAATAAACAAAAAGTGCAATTTTTTTTTTAAAACTTAATTTCTCAAAAAGTGCATTTTTTTTCTCTCAAACTTTTTTACCGGGAAAGAGACACTGTGAACTACAATCAACCCAAATCTCTAATAGCGAAGATTTTTTTTCTGAGTTATGATATTTTATAGAAAATATACGTTTTTGTGGTACATACTACAATATTCTTATATTGTTTAACTACATGGAACATATGTATGTAATATATCAGCAAAAAGTACAGCCGTGATCATTTTTTGTGTATCAAATAGATATTAGAACACACTTTCCACCATACAGTTTCGAAATACAAAATCACATTTTCCCGCTTTTTATAATCGAAACTGTATGGTGGAAAGTGTGTTCTAATATCTATTTGATACACAAAAAATGATCACGGCTGTACTTTTCGCTGATATATTACATACATATGTTCCATTTAGTTAAACAATATAAGAATATTGTAGTATGTACCACAAAAACGTATATTTTCTATAAAATATCATAACTCAGAAAAAAAATCTTCGCTATTAGAGATTTGGATTGATTGTAGTTCAAAGTGTCTCTTTCCCGGTAAAAAAGTTTGAGAGAAAAAAATACACTTTTTGAGAAATTAAGTTTAAAAAAAAAAAATTGCGCTTTTTGTTTATTGTTAATTAAAAAATTTGAAATAATGATAATCAATAATTATATCATTCTATCTTGAAGTGACAAGAATTACTGACATTTGAGGAAAAACATTGTTGGAATCTATTAAATTTTGACAAAGTTATGGGCATTTTAAAAAAACATTCTCACTGTCAATTCGAATAATCGATTTTTGCCTGAAAAACAAAATCGCGTTTAATTCGGCCGAAAAATGTTTCCGAGCCAAAAGAAAAAATACGTGTCTCATTATTTGGACCAACAAACAATGTATTTGAGTTTGGTCGAAATTAAAAATCATGCCCGTACCTGCCCGGTTGTCTGGAAATGGAAAGCATCTACAGAAAAATTTATACAAAATAAAATACTACGATTACATAGACCATATACATTTGCACTTGGAAGAAAAGCAAAAAAGGGAAATAGATTTCAAGACTAAATTTAAATAAACAGATCCAGAAACATATCTTTTTGTAAGTTAAACGATTCATTAATAAGCCCGTTCGTTAGCGAAATAAGCCAGAAACAAAAACCAAGACAAAAGCAAGACAAATTTACTACGTCGCCATAGATGGTAAAAGGAGTCCGCACATGGACTATGGAGATTATCCTAGCTGTTATAAGTGCAAAAACACGAATGTAAGAGCGAAGACTGCCGGGACTATGGTTTTAAGCATAGAGAGCAAGACCGCAGCGACTCTTTTATCAGATTACCCCAAAAGAGAAATCATGAAGAGCTTAAATTACTTATAATTAAAAAATTAGAGTAATTTAAAAATGTAATCACGATACCCGGACTCTGATTTGTGGGAAAAAATTATTAATTAAAAATCTTACTCTCGTAACTATTTCTCCTGGAGCATCAAACCTAAACTATTAAGTTTTATGTACGGAATTATCTCAAAACCCACCCTAATATATGCCGCGCTCCTCTGATGGAAGAAAACATGGTGACAGGTAATAAGATCAACGGAAATAAGGTCAATTGACTTTATTTCCCACCCTGGTGCGAAATAAAGTCAATTGACATTATTACCTTTTTAAAAACGAAATAAAATCAATTGACATTATTTCTCTTTCAAACATTAAATTTGCTTAGCTTCGCGGCGGCCCGCGTTAGCGCGCCACACCGCGCGCGCCCCGCGTACCCCGCGCGACCGGCGCACACACCACGTCACGCTACGCCGCGGCCCCCCGGCCCCCCTTCCCCGTCTCCCGCCGTGCTGTAACGCAGGTGGATTTACTTTTTGTATACGTTGAAATAAAATTTTTATATATTTTAAACATCGAGGGCTTATATTCAATAATACCTTTTTTTTGCACATTTTTCACAAAGATGAGATTCTAATATAAAAATCCACCCAAGCTTTAACTGTCATCAGTGATATTAATGTTACCTTATATAACGACAGGTAATAAGTCCCACATGGTTTCTAAAATCACAAAATAGTTTTTGTGCAAATTGCAGATAGAGGGTATTAATGAATTCAAGCCCTCGATATTTCAGCTTTTTATATTTGTAAGTTATTGGAAGCAGGGATGCTAACTTGGCTCAAAACGTGCCATTTGTCCCTATTTTACTTCAAATGGCACTTAATTTTTCAATTTGGCATAATTTATTATTTCTCTCTTTGGCACATTTTGGCACTTTTTTATCCTCAATATGGCACCTCATAACTAAGGATAGTTGGCAGCCCTGATTGGAAGATTTCTGCTGTGTTTTGGGGCAACAACTTGTCTGCAGTAAAAAAGCATATAATTTGTGTTTCAAAAGTGTGTGAAAACCAATCAATTAACTTATATGATCTCGGTTCCACAAATTGCAGGCGGAGACATGAATACAGTGTAAGAAAATTCTTTTTCTATAATTGTTTCCTTATAGAAAGGTTGGTTTCTTTTCCACCCTAGACATTCCGAATTTGTTCAAATTATGCTAATTTAAAACACAGAATTCTTTCAGTGTTCCTCCGGGGTTATTGGACATGGACTGTTTCATCAATTTAATAGTGTTCGCTTTATTTTTGTGGAAACGAAAAATGTTTTGCAAGTTATGAATCATTTCTACACTCTTTCTTCAAATATTTCTCATATTCCAGCTGTGCGCAGGTGTTTAGTTTTCGCATCGTGTCTTTACATATTCGTAATCTAAATTTTTTTAATAAAACAATTGGTGGTAGTTCATGATTGTGTGTGGATTAATATCACAACACTGAGTATTTGGCAATAACCTTTTTCATCTATTAAAAAACAACACTTACGGGGCAATGTTTATTGTAAGAACAACATTTTTTCTATGAATCGACATACTTTGAGCACTGTTGACGCTATTTCCATTTGAGTGAGGAAATAGCATCAATGACGTTATTTCCAAATTTTTTTTTTGACTTTATTTCGCTTTTGAAAACCCACCCTGGTGCGAAATAAGTCAATTGACCTTGTTTCCATTGACCTTATTACCTGTCACCGAAAAGAAATATAAAGTCCACGCAGGCCCAGCTCGTCAAACTCCAATAACTAGCTTGCGTGGATATCACTGCAGCGATGATAACAGCAAATATTATTATTATTATTATTTTAATCAAGATATTTTAATCAAGTTTGTGTTATTTCACTCCCGTTGTCACACAAAGCGGAGGGATCCACAGTTTTACAGTATTTTTATGATGAGAAGTCGTTTTTCATGGCAGAGGAGATTTGCCATTGCCTGCCGAGGGTCGACCGCTATTAGAAAAAACTTTTTTCTTGTTGTTGGCTTGAACCGCTAACCACTACACCACAGCGGCCGCTGAACTAAGTATCGTTGTTAATAAAACATGGGATAAAAAACATCGATGTTTAAAACATCCTTTTATTTTATTTTGTTTTATTCTTGTTGTAATATCTTACTTAAAACAGAACGTAGCTTAAAACGTTCAATAATATTTACCCCAAAAAAAGTAAAAATATACTGGAATTCTGTTCTGGAGGAGCGAGAACAGGACTAGGCGTTTTGCTAACTTTACACCTCAGTTGTAAGCTGTTAGGCGTGACATTAAAATATTATTGTGCATGGTATTTTGTGAACCACTTTCCTACCTACGCTGCTTCTAGGTGCCATTTCACTAATATCTATTAAAATTGAAACACAAGTAAAAAAAATACTGACGATACGAAATGCTACAACATTCCTCGGCATGACACTTCAATGTGCAATTATGAACATCGATACAGAGCATGATAAAACTTCGGGAAGCAGCAAACAATTTTTTGAGCACTCGATGCTGTCGCAAAACTTCTATGTTTTGAAAACATCGGTTTCGATGTTGCAGCCCTAACATACAGTCTAAATACTTCATCCAGGTTAATTTCTTTAACGGAGAGAATCCGTGCTCTTCAAACAAGAAACGTAGTAAACATTATTGCAGGATTTTTTGCACGGCAGGGCAATGAAGCCCTGGAAGTGGTTTTCTCTGGCCAGTGCAGCTTATGCAATCAGAAACACGAAACAGCAGAACACACACTCATAACCTTTACTAGGCCCAGACTTCGTTTCCAAGAATCACCATACCTAGAATCACAAACCCTAAATAGCAATCAGTTTAGGAATTTCACGAAAACCCAATGTGTGCCGTACGCGTCGCTGTTTTCACTCAAAAGAAAGAACCGACAGTTTAACGCCGCATCCGAACGGCAGATGGTTTTTATGCAAAGCTTTATTAATGGCAGAAATACACTCCGATCTTGGTCATTGCGGCCGCTATTAGGAAAAAAAAAACTTGCTGGCATGTTGCTGGGGATCGAACCTTGGCCCAACCGAGTAGAAGTGCGCACCTGTAAACGCTGCGACTGCCACAACAGAAGTACCCTTAAAAAAATAGTACTTTGTTACAGTATAATATACTATATATGTATATAGTATATTATAGTCTTTAATCACGGTAACCAGGTTACCCGCTCTCTCCTCTAAATATAAATCTAATATAATCGGCCCACACCTGTGAATGAACAGATGGAGTACCAGCTGTGCTCGTTTCAAAGGAATGTTGGTTGGTCAGTGACTGGCTCTAGGAT